GACTCGTAGTCCACTCTCCTTGATCTTTGATTTTGCCCATGCCGAAGAGGTGACTGGGTCTTATGTGGCGCCGAGGTCTTTGTCAGTTCGGCACTTTAGCCCTTAGGCTCTAGGAGCGACTTGTAGTCCACTCTCCTTGTTCTTTGATTTTGCCCATGCCGAAGAAGCGACTAGGTCTTATGTCTGCACTACATCAGCCTCATGACATCGGTCACCCACTCCTACATGAAACTACTAGGAGCTTGACCTACGGGGGCAACACTACTGACTTTAGGTCGCCAGCTCACACGGGAGCCTTGGAAGGCTCGACCAGCAAGGGCGTCCGTGCAGTCTGTTGGCCGCCAACTCCTGCGGAAGCCATGAAGAGCTCATCTTTGTAGAGGGAACCTCGCGAAGAGGACTGATGAAGCTTTATCCAAGTTGAAATAAAATTGGTAGAGTTGCTTAATCTGTTAGCTATCAATTTCCTGCAGTCTTTGAGTTCATAAAAAATGAAAACTATAAAGCGAGAGATTTAGTTTCTAAAAGTGAGGACTTAGCCTTCTGGAAGAAGAGGATTTAGCCTTTTAGAGGATGATAACTTAGCTTTTTTGTAGCATTTCCCACAGACGGCGCCAAATGATGTGGCGCAATCCAGCTGCTCCCCGCAAGAGATGATCTGGCTACCAGCAACAACAAGCTCGATGAACCTGCAAGAGATGAATTAGAGAACCCGGGGTTGTTTACCTGGCGGGGTTGCTCCGATGCTTAAGTTGGCGCTTGGTTGCGAGCTGAAAATGATATTAGATTGTGAAAGAGCTAGAGAGCAGAGATTATGCCTCTTTTTTCACCCCTGGGGGGTGAAGCCTTTATATACTGAAGTTCTTGCGGGTTCGGTGGAGTAGTTCCAGAATTCTCGCTGCGACAGGATCCATTTTCGTGTTAGTTGGGGATAACGCTACCAACCAGTAAGGCTGACCATCTCCGCCTGAATTGGGGAGTGGGGAGATGATATTTAGCCGTTACAAGGTATGATCCCGTAAGACGTGGAGTACGGTGACGAGATCTCCAGGGTTGCCATGCGGTGGTCGGTTAGAATTGCTTGAGCTCGTGCTCTTTAGATCCGACCTGATATGAATGCCGAAGTGCCTTGGAACCGAGGTGGTCCTGATGTGACCTTGCACCGAGGTATACTCGTCCCGAAGTAGACTTGTCCCGAGGTGGTCTAGTTATCCAAGCTCGATCCATTATGGACTTGGCGTGTCAGGCTGAGCTGTTGTCTTACTAGTTAGGTCGCTAGTTCGGCATAAAGGTTGGTCGCCAGGTCGGCGTCAGTGCCAGGTCGCCAGGTCGACGCCTATACCAGGTCGCCGGTTCGGGACACCATCAACTTGGCAAGTTGTTGCCTGAGTGGTTCCAGATATCACCTAGTGTTCTAAGATGCCATGTGTCACAATGTCATTGGAGGGCCAAATCTGCCCTCACCACCTCCTTTGAAGGTCAAGAGGCCACATTCTTTTTTTTATCCTTCAACCCTTCACTGTCCTCAACCAAGGAGTTATATCCCTTCATGGTTGATTTGGATAGATTTTGTTTATTTTGATGGAAACCTTCTTAGCAACCCATGTTCATTAAGGAATGGAAAGGTCTTCAAATTTCAATATATCTCCATTTGACACATATATTTTGGTCCTATTGGAAATGCCAAGGCAGTTAAGGCTAGAATTGGAATTGCTCATTGATTCAAGATTTGCAAGGCAAAGCATCATCATCTCCCAATACTTATAGTGTTTGATGATTCTGTTAATGCTAGCAATAATGACCTTTCCAACTTTTTTGCTTTGGATTTCTAGTGATCTCAACTCTGAATCTAATAGTTATATGCCTCTAGAAACCTAAACAAACTAAGTCCACTGTTCTTACCCAAGTTTTAGACCTCTTGAAACCTAAACTAAGTAGCCCACTCTTACCCAAGTATGTTGTTAAAATTTCACAAGTTAGTGTTATTGAGGAAATGCGATAACATGATTATTCTTGGAGTTTGGATATCACATTGCTTGGATTATTTAAATGGTAAGTGTATAATGTATATAGAATTTGTATATTAATTAATTTATTGAAATCAATACTTATTTAGTTATTTTGTTGGTTTTGATAGATTGAAGTTTTTGACCCAAAGCAAAGGCCTTGGGGATGCAATATCCATGTATATGAGTAGATTTCAGATGTAATGATGGAGACATTTTATTTTTTTTTTCTTTTGTATTTTTATAATCCAGTAAAAAGATTTGATGTTAACTATTGAACCAATATTAAATATGGATATTTTGTATTCAATAAAGGTTGGGGTTTATTTGAGAATTGTTTTATCATTTCAAATACATTATTCGTACAATGTTTCTTTGTATAGCTGAAAGCAAGTATTTTTATAGTTTCACATGTATTTTTTTCGAAAATAATTATGCTAAATAGTACAAAATACAAATGTTTTCAAATAATAAACTTTTCGCAACAGTTTCTATAAAACAATTGTTATAAAACCCATATAGCAACATTATTCCATTCCAACTATTGCTATGGGAATCAAAATATCAATGGTTTGTTGTTCTAATTGTTGTTAAAATCATGAATACTTTGTTGCTATTTCAAGAACAAAAAACTTGCAGCCACGGTTTGCACAAAAAATGGTGGTATTGTTAATTAATTAGTTACATTATATGATTTTTAATCAAGGTATAAACTATGGCTATATAAACCTACAACAATGGTATATATTGTATTACTACAAAAACTTTCACAATTAGCAACCGTTAAAACCGTGGTTATATCCCTACTTCTAACCACGGTGTACACAATCTCTAAAATTTTTAGCCATGGCAATATCCCCCGTGGACAAAAAAGCCATGGTTAGAACCTTTAGCAACCATTTTTTTAGGATTTTTAGCAACAAATTTGTCCATTACTAAATACGAATTTTCTTGTAGTGCGCTACACCTACACTGGGAGATCCCAATGGTTTAGGCTTAGTTGCTAAAGGAGTCCATTCAACTCCTTTAGTTGAACATGCCCCATCAAACAATGCCTTGCATTCATTAACAAATTACAAACAAACCAACCTATTAGGTCCTATACACAAATACATTGTGTAATCAACAATAAAATTTTAAACTAATCATCCAATTGCTCATTTGTCTAGATAATTGTACCAATGACTGGGTTGTGCCCATTTTCGATCCTATTAATTATTAATTATTGCCCCTCATAGTTGATACTTTCTTTTCAAGTAGTCAAACCATTCTTTAGTTGTTTTTGAGAAAAAATTCTTTTGGCTCTTCTCCCAAATCTTCTTTCGAATCCATGGCAAGGATTTTTTTCTTCGAGAGTCGCCTTATATTCCATTTGTAGCTACTTCATCAATGCATAACTCTAGTAATATTTTTGTAAGACCAAGTCTTTCCAATTTGCTTTATCATGTCTCTCCTAAAATCATTTCTAACCCCCATAAACATGAACATTGATGATCAATGCAAGAGATACATGCAAAGAGTGATAAGATTTATTGGTTAGTGGAATTATAGATTACAAATAAGCCATTATTGCTGGCAAGTTTTAAATTGACAAAAGTTCTCATGGTCATCATGTTATGATGCAATAGTACCTTTCAAGCAAAAGTTTTGTCAATGGCATTCAAGAGAATTAACTAAAGAATATAGAGTTTAAAATTGTATATATAATTCAATCTAGTGGACAAATAGCTCCTGCTTCAGTTGATAAAATCACAGCAATAATGGTTGGGAACAGCGTACTTGACTTCCAATTCCATAATAGCAAATTTATTATGTTGTGACTTCTTTTTTTTCTTGGTAAATTAAGTTATGACTCAGTAGGAATTCTATTTTGAAAACAGGTTATCTGTTTTCCTTTATAAATAGATCTTAAGTTTGAGATCCCTATCCCTCTTAATTGAATTGATTAAAAAGATAATATCTCCACCTATTTTATTAACAAATATATCATATAACAAGAGAATTTTCTCTTTATGGACAGCCATTAATGGATCCGCAAATCCTAGTTAGTATCAAACTTTTGCTATATTCCATGTTTCTGTTGTTGGGTAGTTTCTAGGGGCATTGTTTGGTGCCTATATTATGGAAGCTCATCAGTGTTCTTTCTTTTTGTTGCAGCACCTAGTGTTGCTTGCATGGCATGGGCTAAAATTCAAGGGAAGAAATCTGATCATGGGTTGAGGCCTAATGGTCCATTTGTTTGTCGAGAAAGGATGGTATGGGATGAGAAAATTTATTTTCTCAATCCTGTCACCCTATGTTTGGTTGCTGAGACAAGTTATCATATACAATTTGCTTCCTAGTGTTTGGTTGCTGGGAAAATTTTGAAGGATGGTTGGATTCATTCCACTTTGATAATTTTTCCTCAATTTCATAACACAAGATTTGGGCTATGTTTGGTTTTGTTGGTGTTTATTGAAAAATGCTGCCATATCAATGCCACATAGGCGTTGGCGTTAGTTGCATATGAAACCACTGTTTGGTTTCACCGTTTGTCAAATAAACATTAAAAAATTGGAATACTTTGATTTATGTGCATGTGGAATTTGGGGAAACGTCAAATTCTCATTTCCCCCAATGCCCCAACATTTCTTGAAATGAAATGCTTATGTAGAATACTTTATGGGGTGTTAATTTGAGATGTAAAGTAAAAAAATGTTTAAAGTAATGCCCAACCAAACAACAAAAGCAAGAAACATTTAAAATAAAACCGTACAAATAAATGTTTAAAGTAATAAATGGCCCATCTATAAACACCCACGGAACCAAACATATACTTGTTTGTGGGCTAACATGGCATAATAGTATTTGAATATTGCCACGTGTCAGGTTGATGTGGAAAAATTAAAAACTCATATATATTAAATATGCATGCTCGTAACAGCTAACATAACAATACCATCAAACATAAATGTCTTAAGCCAGTTCCCTAGTTCATAACAACCAGAAACTTTGCCCTCTTCTTGTGGGAATATGATTAACTAATCATAGTTCTAAAATTAAGCCATTAAAGGTTTCCGCCAAAAAGCAAATGGTCAATGGCAAGGTTTTAAAAACTGACCTGGAAACGGAACCATTCTATTCACCAGTTTCCAGGTCAGCGGTTCAATCGTCTAGGTCGAACAGTTCAGACGGTTTTCTATTAGGGCAAGTATTTTATGAGTTGTGAGATTTGAGAAATGAGAGAAAGTGATGTTTGTCAACTGAGGAAGAAGAAAAGAAAGAAAGAAAGGAGGGGAAAAAAGAAAAGAAGAGAAAGGAAAGGGAGGGAAGGAGGAGAGAAGGAGGGAAGATTAAGGAAGATGAGGGTGGTTTGACGCTCACCGACGACGATAATGGTGGCGGCGAAGCGGCGGCAACAGACTCTGAGTTCTCATATCTTCTTCTTCTTCTTCTTCTTCTTCTTCTTGATGGAGGCCCATCGCACCTAGGGGCGGCAACTCCTAGGATAAGGTCAAGTCAAGATAAAGTCCAAGAAAGATAAGAAGAACTTCCAAGAACTCAAGATAAAGCAAGACTCCCAAGATTAGCAAGACTTCCAAGATTATCAAGAAATCAATATCAGAATTCCAACAAGACTCCAAGAAGCATCAAGATTAGCAAGACTTCCCAGATTCACGCATAAGGAGAGCCAAGGAGATCAGACGGTGGAAGATCAAGCCCAAGAATTCCAAGAAGGTTTGACCTTATCAAGACAGCTCAAGATGGCCTATCAAGATCAAGATCAAGATCAAGAAAGCCCAAGATCCATGCAGATTAGATCTATCCTAACCCTCTTTCCTAGTTACTTTACAACTTCAAAGATGTACTATAAATATTGATTATTTCCAGTTAATACACACTTCATCTTTTCAGAATTTCTTCAAGTTCTCTTCTTTGAGTTTTGCCACATTTTCTCTCTCCTAGAGAAATCGGTGTTATTCGCTAGGAACTAGCAAACGCCCGGTGCTTGCATAGCCAGCTCTGGTGTCCAACCCAGACGGTAGCAGTCACAACCCACCCCGTGATGGAGATCAGGGGTTTCCAGCTGTTTGGAGAGCAATCGAAGAGCAGCGCACGGCCACACATAACATCGAATAGCAGTTGGCAGAGATGGCTGAACAACTGCGAACCTTGTTACGGGAGGTTGCTCCACGGAACCGGGAACATCCACAGCAAATCGAGGGGGACGACCACGACAGACCACCCGTCCATACTGCGTTCCGATGACCAGTCCTGGATGACAACAGTGATGATGATTTAGAATTTGGTGGTGCTCCAGTTCTTCCCGGCAATGACAGAAATGGTAGAAGTTGGCACAATCAAGGTAATTTCAATCCCCGTAGGAATAATGATGAATTCAAACTTAAAGTAGATATTCCTACCTTTAGTGGAGATCTTGGCATAGAAGGACTTCTGGATTGGATCACAGAAGTCGACAGATTCTTTGATTACATGGAGATACTAGAGGAACAAAGGGTAAAACTGGTAGCTTTCCGATTAAAGGGAGGCGCATCTGATTGGTGGGAACGAATGAGAGAGACCCGGATCAGAGAAGGAAGGGGTCTTGTTCGAACCTGGAGGCGCATGAAACAATTAATCAGAGGTAGATTTTTACCTCCTAACTATGAACAATATATGTTTGAATCTTACCAGCGGTGTGCGCAGGGTTCACGTAGTGTTAATGAGTGCACATCAGAATTTTTAAGATTAGCAGAAAGAAACCAGTTGTCTGAAAGTGATAACCAGCAGGCAGCCCGTTATCTGAGCGGGTTAAGACCGTCCATCAGGGACAAAATTGGTGTACAAATGGTTCTTAGTGTGCAGGAAGCAAGGAACCTAGCCCTGAAAGCAGAATTAATGTTCCAAGACAAGGCACGCAGTGATAATTACCGCCGGTACAGCAGGAGCAACAACAGACTGACAACTATCGATAGGAACAAATCAGTCCCGGCAGTACAACCCTCTCACCCAGCAAGCACAAGTAACGTCAGTAAGGCTACTACAGGAGGAAATACTCAAGGTAATCCTTCCAACCCTTCTAAACCCAGTAACCCTTATGCAAGGCCTACTCCTATTAAATGTTTTAAATGTAATGAGGTTGGACATAGGTCCAGCGACTGTCCTAGGAGGAAGGCAGTTAATATGGTAGAAAGGGAGGAGGAAGAAGATATTGAGGAGGAGGTATGTTGTGGACCTGATGGGGAGGATGAAGAGGGTCCATATGAACATGAGAAGTATACTTGTGTGGTAAGAAAATTAATGTTGTCCCAGAAAAATAAAGATACTTCTCAAAGGCACACATTATTTCGTACCAGATGTACTGTCAAGGGAAAATTATTTAATTTGATTATTGATAGTGGCAGTCAAGAAAACATTATTTGTAGGGATGTCATCCAAAAATTACAACTGATTCCTGAAAAGCACCCCAACCCATACACAATTGGGTGGATCAAGAAAGGAGGCGGCGTACGGGTGGAAGAACGCTACAAGGTACCTTCTTCAATTGGTAAGTACCATGACAAAGTATACTGTGATATTGTTGATATGGATGCTTACCATATTTTGTTAAGGAGGCCTTGGCAGTTTGATACAGATGCAAGGCACATGGATAGGAAGAATACCTACCAATTTGAAAAAGATGGTACACGTTATACTTTGTTACCTATAGCAGAAAAAAATATTGCAAATGCTCCAAAGGCACATGAGAAGAATTTCCTTACCATCACCCATCATCATGATGAATTTGTTAAAGATTGTAAGAATACTCATGAAATACATTTGTTAGTAGTAAAAGGAGAAGATGTTGATGATAAAAATAAAATTCCAGCAGAAGTACAGGGACTACTGAATGAATTCAATGATGTAGTTCCAGAGGAGTTACCAAATGAACTCCCTCCCATGAGAGATATACAGCACCATATTGATTTTGTTTCAGGTGCCAGTCTACCTAACCTCCCACATTACAGGATGAGTCCTAAGGAAAATGAAATCTTACGGGAAAAGGTAGAAGAATTATTGAAAAAGGGACACATTCAAATCAGCATAAGTCCTTGTGCAGTACCTGCCTTACTAACACCTAAGAAGGATGGCAGTTGGAGAATGTGTGTCGACAACAGGGTCATTAACAAGATTACTATTGGGTACAAATTTCACATTCCTAGGCTGGACGACATGCTGGACCAACTGAACGGAGTTGTAGTCTTCTCAAAAATAGATCTCAGGAGTGGGTATCATCAAATCAGGATCCATCCCGGAGATGAATGGAAGACAGCCTTCAAGACTAGAGATGGCTTGTTCGAGTGGTTAATCATGCCCTTTGGACTAACCAACGCACCCAGCACATTCATGAGGTGTATGAACCAGGTATTATGCCCCTTCATTGGTAAATTTGTGGTAGTCTATTTTGATGATATTTTGATATATAGCAAATCTATCACTGATCATGTGGGACATATTAGGGAGGTCCTGAAAACATTGAGGGAAAATAAACTATATGCTAATTTGAATAAATGCATCTTTATGAGTGACAATTTATTATTCCTAGGATTTATTGTAAGCAAGGATGGTGTAAAAGTAGATGAAGAAAAAGTGAAAGCTATTAGGGAGTGGCCAACCCCATCCACTGTCACAGATGTCAGGCGTTTCCATGGGTTGGCAACCTTCTATAAGCGTTTTATTAAGAATTTTAGTAGTATCATGGCTCCCATTACTGAATGTTTGAAAAATGGTAAATTTCAATGGAGAGAAGAACAAGAGCAAAGTTTTGCTCTCATAAAAGAAAAATTATGTACTACTCTTGTTCTTGCCTTGCCGGATTTTAATAAATTATTTGAAGTTGAATGTGATGCCAGTGGAGTTGGCATAGGGGCTGTATTGTCCCAAGAAAAGAGGCTCATTGCTTTCTTCAGTGAAAAATTATGTGAATCCAGAAGAAAGTGGTCCACCTATGACAAGGAGTTTTATGATGTGGTTAGAGCCCTGAAGACATGGGAACACTATTTAATTGCAAAAGAATTTGTTCTCTACACTGACCACCAAGCCCTAAAATATCTTAATGGGCAAAAGCAATTAAGAAGTGATTTGCATGCTAGATGGTCTCCCTTCCTAGACAAGTTCCCATATAAAATTGTGTATAAGACAAGACAGCAAAATAAGGTGGCTGATGCACTTAGCAGGCGTGTAGCCCTCATCAAGACCCTCAGTGTTGAGATTGTGGGTTTTGAGTGCCTAAAAGACTTATATGCCTAGGATGAAGACTTCCAATAGGTATGGGAGAAATGTGTGACTAAGCAGCCAGTAGAGGACTTCTTTATTTATGATGGGTTCCTTATGAAAGAGGAACAACTGTGTATCCCTTGCACCTTCCTCCGCGAAAAGATCATCAGAGATTTGCATGGGGGTGGATTAGCAGGACACTTGGGAAGGGATAAAACAGTAGAAGCAGTTAAGAGACAATATTATTGGCCGAAATTAAGAAGGGACGTGTTTACCATTGTAAGCAGGTGCTATGTTTGTCAGACAACTAAGGGACAAACCCAGAACACAAGTCTCTACATGCCCCTACCCGTTCCTACTGCAATATGGGAAGACTTGTCCATGGATTTTGTGCTAGGCTTGCCAAAGACCTAGAGGAACATGGACTCCGTCTTCGTGGTGGTTGATAGATTCTCAAARATGGCTCACTTCCTCCCATGCAAGAAAACGGCAGATGCATCCGCAACAGCCAAATTATTTTTCAAGGAAATTGTCCGCTTATATGGGGTACCCAAGACCATAACATCAGATCATGACACACGATTCCTCAGTCACTTTTGGATGACCCTGTGGAGGTTGTTTGATTCATCACTTAATTTCAGCAGTACAGCCCATCCGCAGACAGATGGACAGACAGAAGTAGTAAATTGGACCTTAGGGAATTTAATTCGCAGCATATGTCGGGAGAGGCCAAAACAGTGGGACTTCGCCATWGCCCAGGCTGAGTTCGTCTACAACAATGCAGTGCACAGTTCTATAGGCAGATCCCCATTCTCCATCGTGTACATGAAGGTCCCTAACCATGCACTGGATTTAGTGAAGCTACCYWRAGTACYCRRCRCYAGTAYCTCAGCAGAACAGATGGCAGAACAAATCCAGTCCGTCCAAGAGGCCGTGAAGCAGAAACTAGAGCAAACTAATGCCAAGTACAAGATGGCCGCAGACAAGCACTACCGGCCTCAAGTGTTCGATGTAGGTGATGAGGTTATGGTCTTCCTAAGGAAGGAAAGAACTACCGTGGGTACTTACAACAAGTTGAAGCCTCGGAAGTACGATCCATACAAGATCGTGAAGAAGATCAACGACAATGCCTATGTAGTGGACTTAGCAGATCATATGGGTATATCCAAGACCTTCAACGTTGCTGACCTTCACCGGTACCTGCCAGAAATAACACTTGCCTATCCTAGTCACGACTCGGGGTCGAGTTCTCTCCAAGTGGGGGAGAATGATGGAGGCCCATCACAAGGCCCATCGCACCCTAGGGGCGGCAGCTCCTAGGATAAGGTCAAGTCAAGATAAAGTCCAAGAAAGATAAGAAGAACTTCCAAGAACTCAAGATAAAGCAAGACTCCCAAGATTATCAAGAAATCAAGATCAAAATTCCAAAAAGACTCCAAGAAGCATCAAGATTAGCAAGACTTCCCAGATTCATGCATAAGGAGAGCCAAGGAGATCGGACGGTGGAAGATCAAGCCCAAGAATTCCAAGAAGGTTCGACCTTATCAAGACGGCTCAAGATGGCCTATCAAGATCAAGAAAGCCCAAGATCCATGCAGATTAGATCTATCCTAACCCTCTTTCCTAGTTACTTTACAACTTCCAAGATGTACTATAAATATTGATTATTTCCAGTTAATACACACTTCATCTTTTCAGAATTTCTTCAAGTTCTCTTCTTTGAGTTTCGCCACCTTTTCTCTCTCCTAGAGAAATCGGTGTTATTTGCTAGGAACTAGCGAACGCCATTGCTTCCACACTGCGTCACTTCTTCTTCTTCTTCTTCTTCTTCTTCTTCTTTTTCTTCTTCTTCAGACCTCAGACACAAATTCTCCCCTACAACTTTATACTACAAACTGCTGTCCGAGTCAAACGAATCGATGGTTTGACTGTTCGGGTCAGTGGTTTTTTGACAAAGTCAATGGTTTTTGACCCAGGAACGGGTTAGAGGTGAAACAGAACCGATTTCTTGGACCGTTTTCGGGCCGAATGGTCCGACCGTCCGGGTTAATGACAGTTCAAAAACATTGGTCAACAAAGAAAACTAGTAAACTACAAAGATGGGATGGTTGTGGATCATAGAGTGAATGCAATTACTGGAACCTCAAAAACCAAAACACAAACACCTTATATACATTCTTAGACAATTTCCCCCATAAAGTAAAAATGCAAAAGAAAAGTTCAATGAAGAGGACTCGTTTGAAGGAGATGAGAATCAGGTGAAGGAAGAGATGGAAGGAGATCAAGAGCGATGAAAACAGGCAGTCCCTCCTATGCTCTTCCATTGCTCCATTCTTACACCATAAATTTCATTTCCCTTCTTTTTTCCGTTTCCTTGTTGCTTTTGTTCCTAGCAAGCAACATCTCTATTTGTTTTGCAATAACCCTTCCGCTCCAACGTTCTTTTTTCAAGAAACATCGTTTGACTTAAGGAGTGATGACCGAACTTCGAACCTTTGCCGGAGAACAAGGTTTCAGTGGTCGTACTTTGAACCGTTGCAGGGGTAGGAGATGAGGTTTCAGTGTGCCCTTGATATTATTTTCTCACTCTCGTCACAATGCCTTTGTTTCTCAGTGGGATCGCACCTATTTGGTGAGTCCTAGTGTCTCAGAGTTTGAGATGTCATTTCTCGCCGCATCCCATAATTTCACCCAAAACAAATCCCAACTGCATGAACCAAACAGACTAAAGGAACTACATACTTTGTTGCTTTGCTTCTCTAGCATATTTTTGCACATTCTTAGGTTTTGGCAATATAAAAGGAAGAAGCTAACCTACTTGGTTTGTTTTCATATGGATCATCATCATCATCTAAGYCTTATCCCARTTATATGGGTTGGTTATATGAATCTTACTTTGTCATTCCATTCTAGTTACTATCATATTCATTATTAAATTATTGAGTGTTTAAACCATTTCTTGCACTCATACTTTGTTGCTTTGCTTCTCTAGCATATTTTTGCACATTCTTAGGTTTTGGCAATATAAAAGGAAGAAGCTAACCTACTTGGTTTGTTTTCATATGGATCATCATCATCATCTAAGTCTTATCCCAATTATATGGGTTGGTTATATGAATCTTACCTTGTCATTCCATTCTAGTTACTATCATATTCATTATTAAATTATTGAGTGTTTAAACCATTTCTTGCACTCCATTCCGGTTTGTCCCTATCCCTTTAACCCCTTCAAATTGTAACAGATCACAACTTCTATTTCTTCCTTTTGTGGAGGTCAAAGATTTGCATGATCATCTTTGCACAAGTTTACTGGCATGGTAGGCATACACTTTTCCAATGTTAAGGGTTTCCATTGCAATGATTTGGTATTCAAATGAAGTAAAATTGCACTAATGCAATCTGTCTCTGACATTTCTACCTTCACTGTGTAGTTCTACTTGTATCATCTATCCTTCATGCCTTTGTACTACATAGCCTCAAACCCAACTTTGAAAAGTGAGAGATTTGCATTAATTGTAAAAAAAGGGTGAGATTCGCTCAAGGAAACAAATACATAGGAAGCTTCCTTCGGCCGGAATATGTATATCCCTAAGGTTCAGTTTGGAAGGAGTACAAATACAAATATATACAATATAAATACATACAAAACATGAGATTTTGCACTCTATATATTTGTCTTTGTACTCTTTCCAAATTAAGCTTAAAGAGCAAAAGAAAGATAAGAAAAATGTTGTGAACCCATTACCTCCTATTTGGTGTCAATTACACTCAACAATCATCTTTTGAATTACTGTTCATCTTCTTAGCAATCCAAACTTCACAATGACTACCTCCAACTACAAGATTCTTTCTTTCAAAGATTTATTTATATTAAATTACAAGTTGAATTGGCCTATCTAACCGATGCAATGACTACTAAGTATCTAGGTGCTGAGTAGAGATAGTGTTGGGCTAGGTTGGGTTTCTACATGGTATTAACATCATTTTGGACTGCTTGGTCCTGGCTTAACCTGCACCCTAGGCCTAATACTATATTTCCAGGCCTTGATTTGGTATTTGGGCTTGCACATATAATTATATAAATTGACAAATTTATATTAAAAAAAATCAAATTTTAAATGGAAGTTTATATTTAAAAAATTATATATATTATACATATATAATCTAAACATTATAATAACATATTATATTATTTCTATTTCTGGGCCAGGATGGGCAATGCATGTAGCCTGAGTAAGATGATTAAATGTAGTGTTGAATAGTCAATGAAAAGGAATATATTCTAAAATTTAAGATATTGATGCAATCTCATAAATAGTTCAATATAAACTACAACTATGCAAGAGAGTCTCTAGAATTTATGCAACTTTGCCCTGTTAGTATTGAAGGGTAGCAAGAAAGTATCTAAAATGGTGGAAAATGGTTTAGCCTCTACAACTAATGTAACAAGTTTTAGATGATGATAAACATGACAAACATGGTGTCTAATATTTGACTTGTTATGAATGGTTATTCTCCGTTTGCCTCCCAAGATGACAAATAGATATCAGTGAGTCAGTCAAACAATTGGCCAAGTGAACTTTGTTTTAATAATCAAGACATGGTTTTAGAGTATCAGTGAAAAGAAGAAACATGAAATTTTTCAACGTTTCAGCCTATTTGATCCTAAAGAATTATATATTTTTTTCTTTTTTAGGGAACATAATGAGGAAAAAAATTGGTCATTTATTCAAATGACAAAAAAGAGATAAAAGATTAGTTCCAAAATTTGTTTCATTGTGTAAAACAAACCTAAACCTCCCAATTCCATTCTTCTTGCCTCTTGATATGTGAATCCAAACTCAAATTGATTATCAGATGCTTTTTTCCAATACTTATGATGGGGAAAACTATGGGAAAATGATGTAGATTGGTATGGGAAAATTTAGTTATATTAGAAATAGAATACTATATATAAACCAAAGAAACATATTCAACTTAAATATATCAGGGATAAAGGGATAGAACCCTAATTATATGATATTAGGATTGGT